ACTTATCTTTTGACGATAGCAAAATTAAGTTAATTTAACGAAAGCTCAGAGTGTACTGAATTAAATTAGAGAAAGCAGAAAAAGTAAACTGAAACTGAACTTGACTAATCTAATTAATTTCATCGCTACGATTATTCTTTTGCTTTTTTTTACACTTCTGCAAAGAACATTTTGGCGTCAAAAAGATCCTTTCTTTATTTAGTGTAAATGTAATAATAATATTTAAAATGTCGCTTGCATTGAAATTTAGTGATCAGGCAGATTGTGCTGAAGACAGTTTGAGAAGACAGCAATAATTTTTGGCTCATTATAAATATGAAAAACGCTTGAAACAAATAAATGCTACAGATAACTTTTTGAAACATTTTTTCAAAAACTTTGAAAAACTTGCTTTTTTTCATCAAACTAGAAAATGATTAGTTTCTGAGCAACTAAGTTCACTTCAAATTTGAGTTTCAGATCATTTTAAATGATAAATAAATCATTTTTGTAATGAATATCAAATAGGAAGACTAAAGAAATGCGATTATGTGATGACCATTACATAAAAGTAAAATTTAACTTTGATTTTAAGAGGTTTCTTCAAGTTTAAAAATGACTTTCAAACTAAATCCAAAATTACGATTCTGTATTATTTTTGTGATCTGAAAAGAAGCAACGATTCGTCAGAAAGACAAAAAGTGTGAGTGATAGGCGTATGTAGACAAAAAAAATAAGATGGATGTATTATTTTAATAATTATTAAAACTTAGTGCAAAAATTGATCTGTGCATTATTTTGACAGCAGACGAAAACGATTAGATGACTGTAAACCACAATTAATAATGACAATTTGGAAGAACAATTATGCATAAAAAAGTGAATAAAATATTGTAAAATGAATAATGAAGTAATTTCTGAAAAAGTTTCACGTAATGAAGTAATTTCAGAAAAAGTTTCACGTAATGAAGTAATTTCTGAAGATGTAAAATAATTCCTAAAATATTTCAACGTTTTTGTAAAACGAAATTAAAGAGTATAAATATTTTGCTACTTGCACTATGATAAGAATTAACTCTCAGAAGAAACAAAAACACCAAAAGTAATTAATAATTTTAAATCAACGAGCGAATTTTTTTACATGAAACTTTTTGAGCATTTCACATTTGCAAAGTAAATCACACTTTCGAAAAGAAGAGTTTGCAAAAATTATATTTAATACTTTGTTTTTTAATACAGCATAATTCAACAAAATTGACTTTTTATTATGTTACAAAAATTAGTGGCGATTATATAATTTGTGATTAATTAATAATAATACTGCTTATACTACTGAAATTATTGCGCAAAAAATTATCAAAAAATGTAAATTAAACTTCAAATTTCATAGAATATTCAAACTGTATATAGTCATAAAGTGATAAAGGTATTTTCAGCTAACATAAACATCGTCTGAGTATTTGACTTTTGCTTAAAAAGTTATTCATATTGAATAGATTTTGATTATTTGCATTCTGATTCATTTCTTAATATCTTAGTGCAGTTTAAGAACGATAGAAACTTTTTATTTCATCCACTTTTTTCGATGCTAAAAGTTGTAAAATTCATTGGTTAATCTTGAAAAACGACAATAATTGTATAAGGTTAATAAAGTTTTCATCATGAAGTAAATAAATATTCACGATAATTTGAAATATGATATGCACATATGCACATTTAATTAAAAATATATTGTTACTATTTTTTACAAATAAGACTAATTTAAGTGTATTTATCACAATTATCACTTCTACCACGCAAACTTTAAAATTTACTAAAAATTGAATTTTTTTAGTTTTGTATTAAAATCAGTTTTAAACCTTTCATTGTTTAAGGCACTAGCAAAAAATATATTTTCGATTGATAAATAATTAAAAAGTAGCAAATAAGTAAATAAATAATTAAGTAGTTAGCAATTATCAATTAAAATTTATGGTGATGGGAAAGTGAAAAATAAATAAATTTATAGCAATCCATTTTCCAACTCCTTACTCCTTCTTCTAAGAATCTAAAGAAACTTTTACGTGAGATTTAGTGATTTCTGCCAATAGTTAAAGTTTTTTCACGTTAGCTTCCCTACAATTACGTTATTTTTTTGCTCAGAAAAATATTACATTGAGTCTTCTAGATCGTCTTAAATAACAGCAGTTGAGTGATATAATATGAGACATTTTGAGAAAGATTCACACTTGTCATCAATGAATCTAACGTTATCTAACGTTGTTTTGCGTTCGTTAACGTGCAAAGTTTACATTTTTTGATAATTTAAAGTTATGAATTAATTTTAGCTTTAAAGAAAAAGATTTGCATGAAGGTAAGTAAGTAAACAATCAACAGCTGTTTGCTTGCAAAAATTTTGTTTTGCTAGAAAAACAGAAACAAGATAGCCTGCAATAATTTGAGTAATACGGTAATAATTAAAATAAATTCTTCAAGAAATCGAACAAAGATTAGCCAAAATATGAAGAAATAATTTTTGTTATATAATATAAATAACATTTTTATTTATTATAAATTTTATTACAGTTTCTACCATTATTTCTTGCAATTTTTCATCAAGATTAGCAAAACAGTTTGATCGGATAAAAAGTAATCTTTACATTTTTTAAGCATTTCTTTGAAAACCATTTTTTTAAATTTAATTTGTGTAGATCGTCAAGTTTAGACATTATTTCCTTTCAAATCTGATGAATTTGATCAAGAAGATTTGTTAAGAAGGGATTTATTTTGGCAGAGGAATTTCAAATTTGTTAAAAAGCTGAAAAAATTTAAGAATTGAAAAATGGAAAATTCTATTGCTATTAATTTTATTCATTTAAATCTATTATTGAAAAGTGATAGACAAGCAGTTCAAAAGCTAAAATAATGGCAAATATAACATTTAAAAATATTTGTATATTAAACCTGCACTTGCCGAGAAATTTTTATTTTGAATTTGTAAAGAGGCCATTAAATTTCCAATTAATAAAAAATGAGATATAACAAATAACTCTAAAAAGTAAGCCAAAAAAAATATTTTTAAGAATGCATTATTAATTTTTGCAGTGTTTATTAGTGCATTGTATATAAACCTGTTATAACACAAACAAAACTTAGAATCAACTTTTTATTCTTGCCACAATTTAGCTTAAAAAATGAACTTACCGGCTTTTTGCTTTTTTTGTGAATACAATTCCTCGTTTGTCTATAAATAAGATTTTTGAATTATTTAGTGCAAAATAATAAAACATTAATACTAACTTATTGTTAAAAATTAGATTATATTTTTATTGTTAAAAATTAGATTATATTTTAAAATTATTTCATTCTTAATAGCATAATATGTTTATATTCGGAGTAAATTATATTTTAAAATTATTTCATTCTTAAGCAAATTTCATGAAATAATTTTATTACTGAAAAAATTTAAACACATTGTTTTATTAATCTAATTTTTTAATACGTCAATATTCTGCTTACTTGCTCCGTAAATGCAACGTCTAACTCTTCGCAACTTTCTGCTCGCTGCGGTACACGTCCAGCGCTAAAAGCAAACAAATCTGACGTAAGTACTGTTGATGGCGGTTGTTTTTCCAAATTTGACCGCGGAGACGGTGGCGGTGGAGTACGGACTCCGGTGCTGCCATCGGTGTGAATCTCACCTGATGAGCTGATTTTCACCTCAAAATTTATTTTCATGCTACTAATTATTCCAGCATGATATTTCATATTCGAATTCAATTTAGTTATTCATTACTACTATACTTCAATTATAATTACTACTACTTGTTCATAATGATAATAGCAGTTATTACTATCTTCACTGTTTATTTTACAAATTAGTGACAGCGGTTTTGAGCAGACAGTTCTGTTCAAATAATTAATGACTAGCTTTACGCGCAAATTTTCAACAGAATAGAAATTAAGGTAAATAATTATGAATTTAATGAATAGTAGTGAGTAAAGGTGAGTATCAATAAAAATTAGTTATAATTCATAATAAAAATTGACTGCAAAATTGAAATAAATGAGTAAGTTTCGTTGGATTACTGCTCATAACAGGAAATTTAAAAGATTTTTTCAATGAAGTAAGCAAATTTAAATGGAAAAATATGATCGGAATAGGCTTGAAAGGACGCTGATTTGGTGGCTTGTACGAACCAGTCATTAAAACGAAATTATCACAAATCTATAACTTAATTAGTGAATAAATACCCATAGGTAAGCTGAAATCGAAAGAAATAAACTTGTGAGATTAATGAAGAAAAACCTTATTTGGGCTTAGATACAGCAAAGACTATACACTACCGGAAGGAAC